TTCTCCCTCTCCTCTTTCCTCCTCCCCCCTCCTCCCTCATCGTCGCCGTCTCATCGCTCGCTCACATCTCGGCGCAGCCATTGTTTCTCCAACTGCTGCTACCCTTCCTGATCTAAGTCAAGGAGCCTAAACCATCGTCACGTGATCTCCGGTCGTCATCCTCGCAACTGGCTTTAGGCTCGCCGTCAAGCAAAGACGGTCGCCGCATCGCATGCCCTCAGATGCGCTTCTGCGGCCGTCTGCAACACTCTTCATTCCGATATTAGGAAGACACCGGAGCTCATGCGCTTTTAAATCTGCATTGAAAACTCGTTTCTTTAGAACTGGTTTTTGTGTTGAGTGTGTTGCCGTTCCCCCGATTTAGCACGGTGGTGTATCACGGGTAAGCAGTGTCATTTGCTCTTTAGTCTTCATTCACCAAAGCGGAGTGATAAAAATATTCTCACACGTGTGATTCTATGAACGTACCGTGAGGCTACGAATGGGCACGAACCCTAATTGGTTATTCTGGAGAGTCTCGCCGAGTCTGCTACATCAGGATGTTTGGCCAGGGGCGTGGATGGGCGGATCGCTTTCACGTCGGGAGGAAATCTGAGAATCTCGACAGAAATCCCACGACACACACGGGACTTACACTCAGGGCACCACACAAATGGGTTTATCTAAATATATAAAAGGGAAATTTGTGAACATGTGTGTCTGTTCAAAATGTTTAGCATACTTCCCAACGTGCAGCAAACTTGAAATTTGGCATGTGGGTAGCTTTCAGATGGTACACAATGCAAAAAGTATAACAATTTACTTTTGTATTTTTTTTGCAAGGCAAGTGAGCGATGACGTCACATCTGTGATGTCACCCGCATGCGGCAGCGTCACGAAGTGTGCCTACTAACGTCACGCATCACCCCCCCCTCCCACCCTCCGCGTAGGGCGTGTGTTAATCCAAGACAAGAATCCAAGTCTCGGACGAAGCCGGGTGGTAAAGCTAGTAAGTTTATAATCCCATTTGCCTGAGCTGCAGTCGTCTGGCCAAACTCGCAGCCGTGCAGGTTTTGGGGAGTTTCACAAACCTACGTGATCCACCAATTACTTGCGTCCAAAGAACTCGACACATTCGTCAAGAAACACTGTGGCCCCCCCTCGGATGAAACATTTCCAACAGGCGACGTTGCAGGCAACGGCCTCCAACGTGATGCATTACAGAGTCTCTCCAACACGCTCGGCATTCAACGCAATGGGGAAGGTGGGGGGGGTTGACACTCGACATCTTAGCACAGACAGATTCAAAAGTCCGTCGTCACCCTTCCGCCTTTCTCCCCGGCCACCTCGGAGCTCGAGGGGACGACGAATTGCCAACCGCACGGAGTTTGCCATCCCGAGCAGTAAACCAGGCTCAAAACGACCGCTTAGCTTCGAACACGTGACGATATTCGGGTGCATTTGGGGTGATTTTGATGAGGGGCACGGACCTCTAAATCGGTGGCGAGCGAGCGAGGGCGAGAGAGAGAGAGACAGGGCGAGGTTCGGGGATTTAGAATGCAGGTGGCCGATTGTGCCCGGGTCGGCAATATACACCGCGCGGCCTTTTGACCGGGCAGTTAGCCCCATCAGATTGAGCCTTCTCTTTTGGGAGATTTGCTCTGCACTCACGAAGGGTCAAAGGCCTTCTCTCGCAAAGGCCTCCCGCCCCCCCCCCCCAAATCGTTCACCTTTGTCGGTAACGTCCTCTCCGCCGCCGCAGACATTTTCAACAAAATTTGCCCCCCTCCCCCCACCGAAAGAAAATCGTTGTGGGTTATTTCGCTCTTCTCGTGTGTGCGCGTATATGTGTGTGGGTCTGTGTGTGGCTGTGTGTGTGTGGGGGAGCGGTAGTGTAGCGGTTAGCGCGCTGAGCTACTGAACCTGGCGACCCCAGTTCGATTCCCGTTCACGGCTAGCACCAGTGATGAATATCTGAAGCGGTCCCTGGGCCTCATTTAGGTCGACTCAGCCTCAAAGGAGTACATGGTGCAGTGCGCAAACATCGCCACACGGGAGACAAAGGCGGCCCGGGCGTGGTGCTGGCCACCGACCACCTCGTGTGCCGCTCCGGCTTTCACAGATTCTCGCTCACAGCACTTGCCCCAACTGTCTGTTAAGGCTGTACCGGGGGATCTTTCTCCTTGTGTATAACATGTACATCGCTTTTATATGAATGCAATGATGGATAAAGGCCTCCCGATGCCATGTTCGTCTTTGCGCTCATGTGACAATAATTCACTGCGCTAGTCACTACGTAGATTTGAAGTTTTCGTGACTGCAGGGATCCATACTCTCACGATGTGTTTTGAATGCAGAGGACATCGATGCTGCAGCACGGTAAGATGGGGATACAGCGATGCATTTCCATGCATTATTGCCTGCTAATGACATCACTCCGCAGCAGCAGCAGCCTACAGCACCTGTTTATCACACGGTCGTCTATCCAAGGAATAATCAGGCTTGAAGCTTTCGCGACTGCAAGGATTCATATTCTTTGTTTTTTTTCGGTAAAGTCACGTAGATAAAAAAATAAAATTAATAAAAGTAAAATACAAATAAAATAAAAAAATCACGACGTTTCGGAGGCAACACAAGCTTCCGTCTTCAGGTGGAACCGTCACAGCACGATAGCTGTATCAATATATACAAGGACTGTTTTCTTGGAATTTCCCTCACTTGATACAGCTATCGTGCTGTGACGGTTCCACCTGAAGACGGAAGCTTGTGTTGCCTCCGAAACGTCGTGATTTTTATTTTATTTTTATTTTACTTTTATTAATTTTTATTTTTTATCTACTTGACTTTACCGAAAAAACCAAAGAATATGAATAATCAGGCTCCACCCTGCTTAGCTTCTGAGATCTGACACGATCGATCTTGCCACCTCCGTGGGGTTTGTCCCCAGCTGACCGGGCAGTGGCGCCTGTTTTCGGACACGGCAGGAATTGATCTGTGCCATCATGATCCGTTGTCGCTTATTTGCTTTGGACTCTTTTTGCAGGACACTGCACGGCGCTGGTCGACCTGCTACTTGACTGAGAAATGCGTCCCAGGTTTGGTCTACAGTGGAAAGAAGTGGCGACCCTAACGGGGCATTCCACGTGAGTTTAGTGAAATCTACGAGGATCCGGCTGCAAAGAGATGTTTGGACAATTCGTCTTTTTGAAAAGGATTTATAGATTTGATTTACTTGAGCGGAAATCGGAGCACACAGAGGAAACCCAGCAAATATATGAGGGGGGGGGAGAGCAGGGAGGGGGCGTGGAGGTTTTTCAAAACTCCGCACAGATATATTCAAGAATCTATTGCTGTACAGCAATCTCTTTTCTTCCTCGAAACCCAAACCTTCAACAACCGGCAAGTCCTGATGGTTAGGCCTACCCATCCAACTACTAACCAGGCTCAAAACAGCTTAGCTTCTGGTATCAGGGTGATTTGGTCATACGCATTTGATCAGGGCAAGACTTTAGCTTTGACATCTTAATGATCGTTACATTATATATCTCTTTTGCCATTTGGTGTTCGGCGGTCCGAAGAAAGCTTTTGCCTTTTGAATTATCCGCCGGTATCCGATCGTGGAAAAAGAAACAACCCAGCAAAGCGGTCTACGTATCCTGCAAATCCGCTCCGTGGATCGTAGGTTCCCTTCCACGTGCTCTCGCTAAGCCCGCTGCTGCTGCTGCTGCGGCTGCATCACAATGCGACGACAAGCCGCATGCCTCTGGATCAGAATATTTATTTATGAATCGTATGAAGCTCTTTTGCACAGATGTCGAGTAAAGGGCGGGTAAGAACGTGACAATAACCAACGATGCAACAACAACAGCAACAACAACAACACACGACGGGAATGCAAAGTATAGGATATAAGTATACAAATGAAACTGAATTAATTTGTTTCATCCTTCCAGGCAAAGACCACCGAGGTTTTGACGCGGCAGCGCAGAGACGTGAGCGCGTCTGAGAACGCCGCGCAGGAGGAGAAGACGAGAGGGAGGGAGGGAGGTCACGGACGTTACAGACGCAACGGGGAATTTATTTTTATGAAGAGGAGAGAGGAAAGGGTGGTAAGGGAGACAGGAGGATACGGAGAAAATCTCACTTCGATATTCCCGGAAAATAAACGTCGAAATGATGTTCTGCTCAAATGAGCACAAAGTCGGCGTTTGTATCCAGTTTGTCGCCCTGAAAGAGTGGTGGAAAGTCCTCATTCCTGTGGCGAGGACGAGTCTCTCCGCATGGCGGCTGCTGACCTCCACGCAAAGTGGTACTCATTTTGACGACCCCCGGAGGGAGCGATGATTGGTCTGAGTCAAAACCCAACGAGACGGCGTTTGAACCCGAATTCCTTCCGAATGCGAGCCGTCCGCTCCGCCTCTGAGAGCGAAAATCAGAGACTAAGTATAAAATGAGGAGTTCGTGTGGTCAGTCAGAGCTGGGAGAGACGAGAGGGGGGGAGGGGACTTAACCATGGACTGGAACAGTGGGATACATTCAACAGTGCCGAAGACGAGAAGGAGGCAACGGCGACTGAAGAGGCCAAACAACTGTTTGCCCAACATAAAACGCAATGTGGATTCATTAATATGGCATCTAAATTACAACTCTCATCTCGAGCCGCTTTAGAAACACAGTGGCATGTGCATTATGTAGACAATGATATATATATATGTTGTTTGTTTGTTTGTTTCTTCTCGGGAAAAAAGTGACAGTAATAGGCAGAAGAGAAGTTGAAGGTTTTGATTCTCGACTTGAACAGGGGCAGGAGAATCGTAAACACGAACGGCGGGGGGAGAAGGGGGGGGGGAGTCCAGGCAGTGGGTGCAGTAGCAGAGAAGAAGCGACCTTCTCCATGCTGCCTCGGTTGGATTTGACAGAAGCGCCTGGGTGCCGGAGTAGATGCTACAGGAAGGGGGATTAGAGCGAGATGAGAGGAGAGAGAGAGCGAGAGATAGGAACACATTGAAGTAAGATCTTACCTTCTTCGCACGCTTCTTACAAGCCAGCGGTCTCGGGATTTGGCGTGATAGCTGCACGGGCAGGGGCGATGGTTTTAGAGACGATGGCGGTGATGAGATGCTGGTGATGATGATGTGGTCGAGGCGGTGGTTGATGATGATGATGACGGCGGCGATGATGGTGATGCCGTGCTGTTTGCGTTAATGGTGGTAGTGGTGATGATGATGGTGATAGCGGCGGTAGTTGCGGCTGCGGCCAGCGGGTGGAGTGGGAAGTGTTGGGAGAGTTTGCGGTGGCGAGGAAGACGAATGCTAAATAAATAATTAACCGCGCGACAACAGAATCGACATAAACCTCCTCCTCCTCCTTCGTTGAAGACGCCTCTCCGCGGCGAAACGAAGTCCGCACGCGGCACAAACGTTCCGCCCGAGTACGCCAGAGTCAAGTTACGATTCCTCGGGGGGTGCCATTTGGTGGGGGAGCGAGTCTGGGGAGAGCGGAACGTGCGTTGTGGGGAAGACGTGCGCGTGGGATGGGTGGGTTGGGTGCCCCCCGGTCAGAACGCGTCCCGCATGGAACCTTCGGCACAAAAAAAAAGGATTTGGGTCTGGGTCAGCTGGGCACGGCCACTTTGCCTCCATCTCACGGGGGTGGAGGTGGAGAGGAGAGAGAGGGGGGAGGGGAGAGATCGTAGCTTGAATCGCGTGAAGGCAGAAGGCACGGGGTTAATGAAGTCGGTTCGTTTTGTTTTAAATGCACAGCCGTCGTTGTTGTTGTTTAGCGCCGTTGCTCAGCACGGGCCCAAAGGCCCGAAATGCCTAACGGCCAGTAACAAGCAGCACCATTGAAGGTTTAACATATAAAGAATTCATGTTTTTTTTTTATGGGGGTATTGAGCAAAGGTCATAAGAACTCGGGGAAGGAAAGGAAGTTGAGAATGTTATTTTAATTTCGATTCTCCGCAAGGACACCTTCAACATTCTGATAAATGTGAAGGAAAGAAGATTAACGGGAAAAAATTATACATCGAATTTAATGACGAGCAATTCATGCTGGATATTGTTACCTATTGCACTGCATTATCGCTGTGTATCGTTATTTCATAGTGAGTGAACAATGTAATCACAACTTGTCACCGTAACACTTGTTGTTTACAATTCGCACTATTCAAGTTTATGCAAAATATGTTTGGAACATTAGTCTTCATTGTGCATTCCCTGTCTGTCTTGATCAAGATACTTTCAGTCTCAGTAGACGCCTCCATCCCGTCTTAAATCAATATTTGATTACTATGATGACGACAAATAAAATGTCCATTGTTTCGCTGCCTTGTTTACCAGGGGGTGTTGCTATTAGCGTAGCAATTTTTTCTCTCTCTCTCTCTCCAAAGTGTGCCAGATGAAATGAGTAATGTTCCACAGCTTCACACACAAACACCACTCCCCCCGCTGTCAACCGCCACTTGGTAGAGTCTTACTCGCATCTGGAGCATGTTAATGATGGGATTTGTTCAGGAATAAGTCTCACTGCGGGGGGAGGGGGGGGAGATGAGGTGGGTTGAGTGGGTGGGGTGGAAAGACACGGGGTGGGTGGGGGGTGGGGGGAGACACGGGGTGGGTGGGTGGGGGGAACGGGGTGGGGAGACACGGGGTGGGTGGGTGGGGGAACGGGGGGAGGGAGACGGGGTGATTGGGGTGAACGGGGGGGAGACGGGTTGGGGGACGGGGGGGGAGACACGGGGAGGTGGGGGGAGACGGGGTGGGTGGGGGGAACAGGGGGGGGGGAGACGGGGTGGGTGGGTGACGGGGAGACACGGGGAGGGTGGGGAGGGGAGACAAGGGGTGGGTGGGTGGGTGGGGGGAGACAAGGTGGGTGGGTGTTGGAGGAAATGTTTTAGTCTACAGACACAGATCCTCACCTCGAACACCACCAACCCTCCCCCGCGTCCACCCCGTTAGCTGCAAGCGAAGAGGCAGTCCGCACGCAGAAATACAAATGACCCTCCTCTCTTTATTAACATTCGTAGCCTTTCATTGTCATTGCGTCTGCAGTGTTGCTTGCTTGTGAATGCATCGCCAGATAGCACGTGCGAGATAGGGGGCAGCACTACGATACCGGCGATCCGAGTTCGATACCAGCTCACGACCAAACCACCAGTGATGATTATCTGAACCTGTTCTGGGCCTCCCCTAGGTCGACTCAGCCCCAAATGAGTGTCTGGTGTGCTGCTGGCCACCCACCCCCTTCGTGTGCCGTGCCGGCCTTCGTGGGTGCTCGCGAACAGCACTTGCCTCACAAGTCTAAGGCTATACGGTGGATCTTTATCTTTATGCAAGTCTCTGTCCGTAGTATTGCTCTCATTGTCATCATGCTTAACCATATCGTCATCACTCTGTCCGGTGTGTGTGTATGTTGAACTTCTTTCGCGCCGTACGTAGCTAACCGCGCTCAGCATTATTCCTATTATTATGAGCAGACATCATCAGGCACTCTTTCTCGCAATCGGCATCATCATCACCACCACCACCATCACCGAATCGTCGTTTTACAATGAGCAGCGGATCAACAGCCCTGCGCCACGACCATCGTCATAATCATCAACTCCACGTCGTCATCCCACGTCACTGCCCCCCCCCCCCCCCCGCTGCTTGTCATAATGAGGTGAAATTGAAGTCAGATGTCTGCTGGCTGGCCGCCGTTATTGGGCGGGTTGGTGGGGGGTAACCATCTAATGCCTAACAGACGTCAGAGCCGCGTGTCCCTTGGTCATCCAGGAGAAGATCCCAGCCACCCGAATTGTTTTAATGGCCCTCAACGATGAGAAAATTCCGGACGATACGTTGGGGTTTTGTTTTGCACGAATCAATTAAAAATTCGAACCGCTTTCCCTCTATGCGGGTTCGGTTTTGTGCGATTATGCGCTGTGTACGCGCCGATTACTCTGTTTCTACCCACAATTGCCTGTGTGCAGCTGTCTCACGCAAAGATATACATGCATACATACAGATATACATACACACAGATACATACACATGCAGAGATACATACGTAGATATGCAAGCACGTATAAATACATACTTCCGCGGCCGTCTGGGACGCTCTTCCTTCCACCCTCCCCACCCAGCCCCTCCCCACCCTCTCCTCCCACCCAGCCCCACCCTCCCCACCCAGCCCCTCCCCTCCCCACCCAGCCCCTCCCTCCCCACCCAGCCCCTCCCTGCACGACGGACGGACACAATAATCCCCTGTGGGCTGGTGTAACCAGGAGGTTCCCACCAGTATTAACCATCGCATGGCTCGGAGTGAATGAGTCTCACTTTACTTTCAACTCATTCGGCCCGCATCGCGTAGACGCATTGGAGCCGTCGAATAACAATCGTCGAACCGGTAACCGTTTCCCAGAATCAATAACCGGTTTACGAAAATCAGGTGGCCCACCGGGACAGGGACAGTTTTCCAGACCGCACGGCGAAATTAGTCGCAGACGTGGTTCGTTTGCCTCCCCTTTTGTTTAATTTGTTTAAATATTAAAGGTGGCAGCCCTGCAATTATTGTACGGTGCTTCCTTATCGCCCCTGTTGGCCCAAAGGCCTCCAGGAAATAGGGGGCGCCCTGGCGTGTATTTGGTCTACTCTTCCACGTCGAACGGACGCATTGGAAGCTGCACGTGTTTGTATGTTGAACTTCTTTCGCACCGTACGCAGACAACCGCTCTCATCGGAGGTGGCCGGGGGGGGTTCGGGAGGACAAAAAAAACTAAACACAAAAAGCAATTTAAAAACAACGAGTTTTAAAAGTTGCAAAGCTCCAGTTTCTCCCGAATATCGGAAGGAAAAGCCTTCCAGACGTATCCGTCTGTGGGGCAAACCCCGGTTACCGCTATTTTACCGGTATCTGATTTGAATGCGGTGAACGTTAATACAAAGAGCTCTCTTTTATCACCGAATTTTCACACCCTCTACTCCTACCCCTAAAAGTGTTTTTGGAAAGTGTGTCAACGTTAATCAACACACCCCCCCCCTCCCCTCTATAACCCACATTTCGCGATGTGAGAAATAATGTAGATTGTTATCGAATAAGGGAGGTGTTTTTTACATACAAACAAATAAACACCATTAAAAGAAAAGTTTGCTCTTACCCCTCGACTCAAAAGAAAGCCCTAAAACTTAAGAAAGAGGAATGCGTGTTGCCACGGAGACCGCTGTCACGGCAACCCAGGGGTAGCTATTACAAGGCACACGATGGGACTGGTGATGATTGTGAGACTGTGATGATTGTGGGGCCGTGATGATTGTGGGGCCGTGATGATTGTGGGACTGTGATGATTGTGGGACTGTGATGATTGTGGGACTGTGATGATTGTGAGACTGTGATGATTGTGAGACTGTGATGATTGTGGGGCCGTGATGATTGTGGGGCCGTGATGATTGTGGGACTGTGATGATTGTGAGACTGTGATGATTGTGGGGCTGTGATGATTGTGAGACTGTGATGATTGTGAGACTGTGATGATTGTGGGACTGTGATGATTGTGAGACTGTGATGATTGTGGGGCTGTGATGATTGTGAGACTGTGATGATTGTGGGACTGTGATGATTGTGGGGCTGTGATGATTGTGGGACTGTGATGATTGTGGGACTGTGATGATTGTGGGACTGTGATGATTGTGAGACTGTGACGATTGTGGGACTGTGACGATTGTGGGGCCGTGATGATTGTGGGGCTGTGATGATTGTGGGACTGTGATGATTGTGGGACTGTGATGATTGTGGGACTGTGATGATTGTGAGACTGTGATGATTGTGGGACTGTGATGATTGTGGGGCTGTGATGATTGTGGGACTGTGATGATTGTGGGACTGTGATGATTGTGAGACTGTGATGATTGTGGGACTGTGATGATTGTGGGGCTGTGATGATTGTGGGACTGTGATGATTGTGGGACTGTGATGATTGTGGGACTGTGATGATTGTGAGACTGTGATGATTGTGGGGCTGTGATGATTGTGGGACTGTGATGATTGTGGGGCTGTGATGATTGTGGGGCTGTGATGATTGTGGGGCCGTGATGATTGTGGGACTGTGATGATTGTGGGATTGTGATGATTGTGGGATTGTGATGATTGTGGGGCTGTGATGATTGTGGGATTGTGATGATTGTGGGGCCGTGATGATTGTGGGACTGATGATGATTGTGGGACTGTGATGATTGTGGGATTGTGATGATTGTGGGACTGATGATGATTGTGGGGCTGTGATGATTGTGGGATTGTGATGATTGTGGGACTGATGATGATTGTGGGACTGGGATGATTGTGGGGCTGTGATGATTGTGGGACTGATGATGATTGTGGGGCTGTGATGATTGTGGGACTGTGATGATTGTGGGACTGATGATGATTGTGGGACTGGGATGATTGTGGGGCTGTGATGATTGTGGGACTGTGATGATTGTGGGACTGATGATGAT